CTTTAAAATTAACTATTATATATCATCTTGTAGAGAAATGTTTTCTCTACAGAACTGCCGTTTTAGAAAAATGTCGAAAATCGTTTTTATGAAAATACAAAACATTTATTGTGAATTTTTGAAAAATACAAAAAAATAACCGATGCACTCCTACTCAGATGCGTGTATAAGTAATTCATCATTGATTTCTGTTTTACTCATAATCTATTAATTTCCATTATTTCTCTATTTCAGTTGTATTTCCGATGAATATCTCTTTAACCAAATCCTGTGTACTTCAAATACAACCGGATGCATAATAATCTGTTGTTCGTCTTATAATTTTTGTAACGATCGAGATGCGTATTCTGCAAGTCTAAGAAAATACATGAATGATTCATTTTACAACTCAGGTTTGAACTTCAGTCTCTTTTCATACTAAAGTTAAAACACGTCACCTTTATTCGCTCTAGCTACGCCTACCAATAGTATAACGAATCAACCACCATCTCCAACATTTCTACTTCATTATGCAGCCATTTTGTTAATAGTGGTTTTTATCGTTTTCTGGAGTACTTTCATTGCATTATTTTATCTATATAGAAAATGTTTCAAAAAGTAAGTCTGCTAGCAATTCAAAGATATTATAATCGACTTACGGAATTTATATCACTATTGGTCGCCGCTGCCGTGGATTAGATATTTGAGTTTAGCAGTACATATCGAATCTCACTGAAACTTCATGTTTTTACACGTATACGGATAATAACTATTGTTTTTTTTTGATTCTTAGAAAATCATTGTGTTTGTTTCGTTCTCCAACCGTTTCAACAAAATCTTCTTCAGCAAAGAAACCAAAGATTACTAATAATAGGCTGGTTTGCTGTGTGAAACAAAAAGCATGCACTGATCAAGCATCAGATGGATTGTTGGACGAAATGTCGATGAGTACAACTGGCTCTGGTAGAAGACTTATTTTTACTTCTGTTAGTTTTCTGTACTTAATCTGTTATTGTTTTTTTCTTAAAATTATTTAGGTCTCCGGTCACTTGAGCCACTTACATTAGCTCGTCAAATTGATTTAGAACAGTTAATTGGTAAAGGACGCTACGCTTTTGTTTATCGGGGCAAATGGCGTGAAGATTATGTGGTTGTGAAAAAAATTTTAGCTATTCATGAACGATCATGATTCAGAGAAGTGGATATTTATCAAACAACTTGTTTAAGACACAAAAATATACTTGATTACATAGCGGCTGATAACAAGGTAGAAGATTTTTTGTCCAACGATATATTGTGTTAGTTTTATCAATTTTCTTTTTTCAGGATGGCGGTACACACACCGAACTTTGGCTTGTAACAGATTATCATGAGAATGGCTCACTGTATGACTACTTATTCAATCATACAATAGACTTGAAAATAATGCTTAAAATGATGTTATCAATAGCGAAATGCTGAAGCGAAATGCTGTATTGCTGATCTTGGTATGGTATGTTTTACTCTCATATTATATAATTTGAAAGTTTCTTATTCTGATTTCACGTATTTTTTTTCCTATAGGTCTTGCGGTTAAACAACTAATATATGTACCATTGACAAAAAAAGATTTATTATTACCAAATAATGAGAATAACGATGTTATCGGCATACAGGCAAATACACGTGTAGGAACAAAACGTAAGAAAACGTTGACGTTATTTAAACTTTTAGCTAAAGACCGATCAAATGAAAAGTGGTGATGTGATAACTAAGCAGAAAAATTCATTGACGCAATAAAAGACGTATTGTTTAACAGAAAATTAAAAAAACTATTCTGCCGTAGAAAATACGTCAGTGCTTCAGCATATTTTTAACAATATCCTTTTTACGTTGTTGTGTCAAGATTTATTTGAATGAATGACGTGAATGTTTATTTTTTCATGTCTTTCAGGATATATGGCACCGGAAGTTTTAAGCGGTGCTATGAACCAACAGAGTTTTGATTCGTTCAAAGCAGCTGATATTTATGCACTTGGTCTTATCTATTGGGAATTACTAACACGCTGTCATAGTCCGGGAACAATTATGGACAGTGTATGTCTCAGAGGTACACGAACTTTTTTCTATATTATTTGTTTTGTAGGAGGTGATGCAGATGAATATCAGTTACCTTATCAAGATGTGGTTACACCTGATCCAACTATTGAAGAAATGCATGAAGTTGTTTGTACGAGAAAATGAAGACCACCAGTATCACAAAGATGGCTGTATAGTTCCGTTAGTATCTCTTTAAAAAAACAAACGGAGTCAAGTGTATTATTTTTTACCTTACAAAGATCTTATAATGGTTTTTGTAGTAGTAGGATCTTGTCGTCACCGTTTAGAAGTATCATACGACATAAGCCAAGTCTTTTATAAACTTTTTTTTTCTATATTTAGACGATGCATTTTATTTCGAGATTATGTGAAGAATTGTGGTATGATGATTCCACACCCCGTTGGAATGGTTTAAATGTGAAAAGACAATTAAAAGAACAGTACGAATCTATTCAACATACTAAGGACTGTAAGAAAAACCAGCACAAGAATTACAGCAGCAAATATCACAAATAGATATTCCATGGATAACTTGATTGATCAACTATCGGATCTGTGTTATGCGCATTATAGTCAGTTCATTATTCCATTTCATCTCGTTTCATGAGTTCTATACATCGCATAATAAGCCGTCAAGAATTCCCTACTCCTACATACACTCCCTAATAATTATGCGTGATACTCTAACTCTGTTAACAACTTTTTTTGGTTTTGTTTTCAATGCGCTCTTACATATAGAAAATAAAATTCTATACTTTTTTAAACATGTATCTTTATCTCTGCCGTTTCTCAAGTGAATGCAAGAAAATATATACAATTTAATGACTGAACAGTTTTTTTATTAACCTCTGCTTATTTTTCTCTTCCTTTACCTCGTAGATTCTCCTTCGTCAAAGTTTTGTACATGTCTCGTTTACAAGTATGATGTTACAAGTATAATGCTTATTTTATTTGCATTAATTTCTCCGATATTTATATCTGATATTTTTCCAATTGTTGGCCAATTCTCGTTTTAGAATCTTGTTTTTTGTTTTGAGCGTAATTTTTATATTATATTGGTGTGCATAAGTGTAGATATGAAAATAATTTTTTTACTATATCCGACGATCAAAGTTTTTGGTATTTTTTCAAAGGATCTCTTGAAAAAAATAGCCATTATCTGTATTTTTCTATAATAATTTAATTATATTGTTTTTCATTTGAGGATGTTTTATGTTTTTATGACAAAATAATAATAATAATTTTTTATTTTCTTTTGTTATTCCGTCTACGCTCTTCGATGTCTTTCAGTTGTTTTTCTCAAGGAAAATTATTCTCAGGAAACTCATTCTATCAACATAAAATCCATATTTTTCCACACAACCACAAATTTGACTAGATCAGTTAAAAGTGGTCGGCGTCTAAATCAAGCGAATCTATATAGGCATCTTGATTTTAATTAGATCTAGGCTATTTTGTATATTTTGTGTAGGCTATTTGGTGTATTCGTATTTTTTTTTCTATGTCTGTATGTAAAGTATTCTGAAGAAGAAAAAACCAGAATTTAAATCTAATAAAAAAAGTTTTGCAAATGAACATGTATATAGTTAATCCAGTGGTTTTTTACCTTCGACTATTTCTTGACAGTACTACTAGACACATGAATAAGATCCAGGGTGATTTGGAGAAAGAAATGTGGATGATTTATTCAATTATCAGCGAATGCTACGTTATACAATGTACGTACGAACGCCGCTTTCCTTTTTAATGTATCATGCTGCAAAAAAACTGTAGCTTAGATTTTTACTTGTAACATGTGTAGCAAATGTACGACTTTCTTCGTTTCGTCAAGACCTCGTATCAATTTACAATTGCTCTGTTTTACTGTGAATTTTTCTCTTTATAGTTGTTATTGGATTCTGTCACTATGGCTACAACAAATAGTTCAGTGCCGACAGTTGGCGCCACAACTGCTACAACAACAACAACTTCGATAACATCAGCTGGTGCACCTGGCGAAAGTATTCATCATCATACTCAAAGTGCATCACAGATAGCTAATGTTGCTCAACTGTTACCATTGGAGTTAGTTGATAAATGCATTGGTTCTCGTATTCATGTCATTATGAAATCTGATAAAGAAATTGTTGGAAATTTGCTGGGTTTTGATGATTATGTTAATATGGTGTTAGACGATGTGACAGAGTTTGAAACAACACAAGATGGTGGCAGTCGAATAACAAAATTAGATCAAATATTATTAAATGGAAATCATATAGCTATGCTTGTACCGGGTGGAGAAGGACCGAGTATTGGAGTAGGAGATCAAAGATAAATTGTTCCATTTTTTACTAATTGTTATCATCGTTGTTGGTTTTTTTGTACGATGTGTAAATAACTGTTTTCAGTCTTAACAAAAACAACAGCTTTCAAATCTATTTTGATTTGATACTATCGAAATAATTTTATTTAACCAGCATAGATACTCGACTATCAGACTAATATGATCCAATTAAACAGAAGATCTATTTCTCTGGATCTGACTTATTGCCAATTGTTCAAGTGGTGGTCTTTCTTATCATTCTGTCTTTTTTCTCCGTATTTTTACATTTTAGATATATAATCATTTGAACTCATTTTTGTCTGCATATGCACGGGAAAGAAAGTTAGGTTATAAGGCTTTCAACTTTAATTCAACACTCCGAACATTCTTGTTCCTCGATTCGTGCATTTATTTCGATTACCAACAGTACATTTTATTTTCAATCCGAGTGATAAAATAACTGAACAACACTGAAAGGTATCATAAAACGATTCTGTTCTCTATTCTTCACTGTTTTATACTAGTAACATTCCTAACACAGTACTCCTCTCATTGACTATATTTGTTTTTTTCTACTTTAGAAGTTTATTTGTGGTATTCTATTTCCTACAGCAATGCACTATCCACCTCCGTCTCAGCAACAAACGCAGCCTCAACCACAACCTCAGCAACAAATTTTTGTTGTTCCACAAACCCCAAACCTAAATAATTCTAATACGAATCAAGTGAACCCTTCTAAAATGTCCTACGTTTATTCGACCGCTACGAATCAGCAACAAAGTCCGTCGTCAAATATTCTACATCAAACCCAAAGAAATGTAATATCAACAAATGGAACTACAATGATTACAAATCTTCATACACAGCAACCATCATATCAGCAATTCCAGCCATCACAACAACAACAACAACAACAACATCAACAGTTTCTAGTTAATAGATCATCACCTTCAACAACATCAATGCCATTATCACAAACAATCAATCAAAATTCACAAAGAACGATTATGATTTCGAATAATACATCACAGGTATAAAATATCTTAGAAAGAGAAATATATTCTTTTACTCATATAACATTGCTAAACTTGAAAGTAATTCACATGTAATTCTTCGTGTCTGCTTCAATAGATATCAAATCAATCACAATCACCAATACAGCAACAATATATGCCAACATCGACTTTACCTTCTCGTCAAACATTTACAACTCTTACTAGTGCTGCTTCTCCTTCCGTTCAACGTTCTCCCGTGTCAGATCATTCAACTCAATTGCTCACCAGCAATAACAATATTTTGTCAACACCTTCTTCTGTGACTCCTATTTCTTCACCCACTCTCTCCATACCTAATAATCAAGTTCGTCCACAAACGCTATCTAATATGAGGCCACAGATTTCACAAACAGCGCTCAATTCTTCTATCCCGTTACAACAACAACAACAACCACAACAGTCTTCTGCAATAACTGCAACAACGACACATTCGTCTACTGTTCCTACTCCTCGTGTTGATCAACTTCAACAAGTATTAAAATTTTGTCGACAATTTAATTTAAAAGAAACGGAGGAAACATTAACAAAGGAGTATCAACAAATTATAGACTCACAGAAATCGTCAGATATAAAACCAACAATAGCAACAACTGCATTATCAAAATTTGATCCAGACCAATATTTTCAATCGTACGATGCTTATTTAAATTTTGTACAAGAGCAAAATGAATCAAATCGACATGAATTTTTCCAATTACTCTATCCATTATTCGTACACATGTATTTAGGTGAGAAAGCGGTGAAATCTCTATCTAATTTTTATGTAAACTACTTACTCTTTCTACCTATGTTCTAGAACTAATTGAAAATCATAAATTATCCGAAGCGCAACAATTTTTTAAGTTATATACATCTAAACCGGAGTTAAAACAAAGAGCATTTGTCACCCATCAAGATGATTTATATAAAATAAACTCTCTCTTGTCTAAAGAACAAATCGAACAAAGTGATTTTGTTAAATCATTTCGATTAAATGGTCGTTATTGGATTAAATTATGTGATTCGAGTTTAAAAATGTTAGATCAATTATTAATTAAACAACAAAAGTATCCATTATTAACACGTCTCATACAACAGTATATGCAATTAGAGATAAGTGATGGGCAAGCCCGAAATATTGATATACAACAATTATTAAGCGGAGGAAGATTAGGTAAGACTCGAATATTTTTGAAATATCTAATATATACCGACTGCTTCTTTTTCTTCTAAGGCGAAATAAAGACAGATGATAATCAAAATAAAATGTACTATGGACTTTTGAAAGAACATGATTTAACTCGAATACAAACCCACAAAACATTATTAGCACCACCGACATCAACCACAACAAATACCACGGGTGGAGACGATGAACAGCAACAGGACGAACAACAGCAAAAACCTACCACAACTAATCGTAAGAAACTGAAACGTGATATATTTTTGCAACGTCCCACAAAATCGTCTCAACGTATCGACCCAAATTCACCATTATTAACTCGAATACCAATTCCAGAATTACGTGAACATGAACGAATTGATTTGTTGAATATGTACAATGATGATTATACAAGAATATTAAAAATAAAACAAGAAAATCTACCATCATGTTGTTATTATACACTGTTAAATGGTTATTTAGAAATTAATTGTTTAGGTAAAAATATTATTTACTTGTTAGAAAAATATTCAGAAAGAGCACAATTTTGATTTGTATAATTGTTTCAAGAAAAAAAATTTTAGAAGAAAAAAGTTTTGATTTACGCATGTTTCCATCTAGTTTAGATTTCTTTGTTTTTAGAGCTATCTGATGATTCCACGCTATTAGCAGTTGGTTGTAAAAATTCGACAATATTAATATATTCTTTGAATCGTCGAAAATTAATTACAATGAAATTACCAAATGATTTAGACATGCTAGATAAAACAAATGAACAAGTATACGAACAAATGATGATGGAAGAAGATGATGAAGGTGTGCCCAATGACAGTATGGAAACAGATAAAGACAAGGATAAAGATATTTTATATGATCAACGTCTGTTATGTGGTCATACTGGTCCTATTTATGGTTTATCAATGTCGCGAGATAAATGGTTTCTATTGTCGTGTTCTGAAGATTGTACAATTCGTTTATGGTCTCTACTAACCTGGACATGTTTAGTTGTCTATCGTGGACATACACAACCTGTATTCGATATTCAATTTGGACCATTTGGTCATTATTTTGCATCTTGTTCATTAGATAAAACAGCTCGTCTATGGTGTATGGATCATTCACAAACATTAAGAATATATACAGATACAATTAATGATATTGAAACAATTTGTTTTCATCCGAATTCAAATTATTTAGCCACTTCATCGTCGGATCGTATTATTAAAGTATGGGATCTACTTGAAACAAAAGATGGAAATGAAAATAAACCTATTCGACAAATGTCCGGTCATAAATTACCCATATGTATTAAACGATTTACAAAAGATGGAAAATATTTGATATCGTGTGGATATGATAAACAAATAATGATTTGGGATATGACCAGTGGAGCATTATTAACATGTTTCTTAGGTAGGCGCAAACGTTGTTCAACTATCAACTAACGAAATAATCGCTTCAAATATCCGATCGTTCTCCTTTCAAAACATATTTGATTAATTGTAACTTTTATGTTGAACTGTTAGTTTATTGCACGATTGTATCTGACGGATTCCTACCGTTATAGTGGATTGCTACTATACCATGATTTATGCAAATTTCAGCGGAAACTGGTTCCGCTTAGAATCACAGAATATATGCATAGTTTTAAGCTGATCACAAATTTGATACTTACTTTTTCTCTTTGGATTCTTCTCAATGGTTCGTCAGAAATTCGGTTTCTACAATCTCATATTTCAGTAAAAGTCTATTCATTAGTCTGCAAAATTTTACAAGATTAAATCAACATGCACTACACACTGACTATACCAGAAATTCTGATTCAAATGAAAGTTGATAATGGATCTGTAGAAACTGAATTTTCGGAGATTCATAGAAAGAAGTCCTTAATCAAGTACATTTCGAGAGGAAAATAATCGAACACTTAGTGGTTCTCTCGTGAGAATTGTGATTTACCATGCTTTGCTGAGGGAGAAACACCACTTCGTAGATTTCATTATAACTTTTTCCGAGTAGAACGTTAGTTATTGATAGTCTAGTAAACAATGGTCTTTTCATTATTCTTTCACAGGACATAATGATGCGATATTCTCCATGGATTATTCTCGTGATGGTAATATTCTCGTTACTGGTGGTTTAGATTTTACAATTAAATTATGGAATTTAGGAAAATTAATTAAAGACGCTCAAGATCAACAGTTGGAGACATTGAATAAAGTCACACCTAATCATAAATATGAGATGACTTGTTATAGAACAAAACGTACATCAACTATATTATTACATTTTACACGACGAAATCTACTAATAGGAATGGGGGTTTTCATACCATTACCATCCACAGCTTTGCCACAAACATCATCATCATCTACACAACAGTTAACACCAACATCCCAGGCGAATGCATTGACAACAGCAACAACAATAGCTACAACTACAGTCAAAGAAGAAGAATAAACTGTTTCCGTCCTTTTCTTTGATCTAGATTAGATATTACTCATGATTTATACTTTTTTTTTTATTTCTAGAAAGAGATGTTGAAATTGATACTTTGCTTTTTAAATTTCGAGATGTCATTTCCAGAAATCTCTAAATATTTTATTTTTGAAATTAAATCAGGAGAAATTTTTTTTTAGCAATATATGCTGATAGAACTATAAGAAAGGTGATTTAGTTGCTTTTTGTACTTTCTTTTACTATACTCATGAACCAAAAAGCAGTTTCTCTATAACAGAGGCTTGAGCAAGTATAATATACTATCATCTACCTTTAGCTGTTATGAGTTGTTGGCTGATGCTCTTTTTCTCTCTATTTTGCTCATTTTATTTTGTCTCCATTTCGTCTTCTGATTGTGATACTATAAATTTGCTGGTTTTTTATTTTTATTTGTTCAATTACAGTGAAAACCTCTTGTATATTTGAAACAGAACATGCAAAAAAGTTGTTTGTTGTTTTGTTTTTTTATTTTATAATCTGTATATTTCTACATCAACTATGTAAATAAATATTGAATGCGCATCACATTAGTTTGTTCTTATAAAACAGTGCACATCGAGACAATAAAGAAAAAGAAATTTTTTTAATGACTGTAAGTTGTTTTTCTGTTATTGTTATTTCACAATTCTAAGTGTCAAATGTCGATCGTTCTATACTGTAAATATATATTAAACCATAGACTCATACATGTATTTTCTCATCTTGTTTATAGTAAGTCATTGACTAACTTGAAATACTTTTCGTCTACATTTTACAAGTAGACTTTTTTAGAATAATTACAGGTCCTTTAAAAATACTGAATTTAACTGTTATAATCAACCAGGAGAAAAGATGTTGTTGATTTTATAACAGTAAATGAAAAATGTGTCCTGAATTGTGGATCTTTACTTTCATATTTAAATCAGTTAGCTAATCGCGATATTAAATATAGTTTGAAAATGTACTTTTTATTCACCGGTGTTTCTTGTTTAATTTCGTTTTGTACATAATGTTGTTTATATACTTGTTTTTGAATGTGCACGTCTTTCTTTCTCATTCTATCCACTATTTTTTGCTGTTGTACAAATGTCTATGTATATAAAGATTTGTACATGTACAAGATGAATAAGAAATGTTTCTTTGCAAGATGTGTCTATTGCATTGTAGCTAAGATGTAAACAAACAGGGCCTATACCCATTCTTTGAAATATTATTTCGATGTACATCTATAAACTAATTCTTTTGTGTTTGTCTGCAAGTAATGCTGTAATATTCTGCTTCAAAGAATAGAAGAAATGGAAGGAGTATATAATTGCCGCGAAAAACATTTTTCTTTATTGTGACTTTTTGTAGTAACTTAGAACAGTCAAATGCGAACGAAAAACGTCGTGTGGAGAAAAATTTTCAAGAGAAAATTTATGCTTCAAAATGAAATTTTAGGCTAGTGAGAATGGATTTTATTCTATTTTTCGAAATCCTGGATACAGGAGTGATCTATTAATCATTTTTTGTTTCGTTAATTTGTTGCTGCCATTGTGGTGTTTATTTTTTTTTATATGTATATTTTTGTTCTTTGTTTGACATTTTTGCCACGTATTTTGTTTTTTCACAAGTACGGAGGAAACAAGTCACTATAGATAGAAATACTGAATAAATACAGTTTTTATTTTTTACATATTTAGTTAGCAATTATACTCAGTTCTTACTAGCAGTTATGAAAAAATTAGTTACGTCTTGCTAAAATATTACTCGTCAGCTATTCGATAAATGGTGAGTTTACTAACTTCATATATCATAATAAGAATAGTTAAAAAGATAGGTGTCTTTTAGAAATATTTTGTATCAATCATTGTTTCGCTGCTTTAGATATTTTCGGTTATCATTTTGTTTCTGGAAATTACTCAAAGAATTTATACCAACTGCGCGGATAGTCGACGATTCGATCTGTTAAAGTGGTTCCAGTTGTGTATACGACGAATATGGGACGTTTGCATCCATAGTGCACTGTTTTGACGAAAAATATTTTGTGAAATGAGCCTGATGTCTAAAATGAACTTCTTTCCAAAACTATACACAATTTACTAGTCAAAACCTAGCCTCAACAAATGGCATTTTATTTTTCAAATATTCAAAATAAAGATTTTATAAATTTTGAACCATCGCATTTGCCATCATCTCATCGTTACTTCGTTCATGCATGAGACGATTAGCTTTGTCTAATTCAATTAATTTATCATCCTCATCAGGTGAAATCGTTTCAGCAGTTGGTGCTGCTGCAAAGAACACTTGTATTAAAAATAACTTTCGCTATAGACTACTATCCGTTCCAGAATACAAGGACGGTAGTTATTTTTTTAGAATAGTATTTTGCATTTTTATTTGGAAGAAAGTATTTTAATGCGAAACCAAGCTCATATTCGTGATTAGCGTTAGAAACTGAATCGAATAATGTGTCATTCAGTCATTTTTCGACATATTGTTTCAACAGAAAATTTCTATGGCTTCTTTCCATGAAGAATTAAATGAATAAAGCTAGGGACTTGCGGTTTTCATCATTCGCTAGCCAAGGCCTGAAGCTATGTTTTCATAAGCAAAAGCGAATTTGAAAAATGTTTTAAAGACCAGTTTTTTAGGAGATCTGTGGGAAAACAGTTCAGTTCTCTGAAAGCTGGCATAGAAATCTGGCATTTTTTCCTGAAGCCTTAGCACTCCTCTGCCGTTAGGTTTGAAACTGTCAGAAATGAATGAAAACATAGTTTTCGGCTATGTTGAATCTTGTGGCAATGCTAGTTTTCAGAACAAAATGCAACAACCGAGTGAAAACCTATACTAGGTGTAATAACTCATTTTTGATTATTTTCTTCAAAAAATTAAAAACTCAGATAAAATTCATCCAACATACTTCAGGATCTTAGCAGATACTTTATTTTAGCTGCAACATACCACCGTAAAGTTGAATAAATGTTAAAAAAACCAACAAAAAATACTTTGGTTTCTAGAAAAGTTTCCCAGAAACTTTCAGAACTACAAGAATATTTTTTTATTTGTAGTATTCGAGGCTCTCTGTCTAATGGTATTTTCAAAGTTTTATGAAAATATTTCGTTTCAATACAGTATGGCTCCAAAGTGGACAAAATATGAGTTTAGGACGTACCGGATACAGGTCACTGTATGAGAACGAAACCATTCCCAGAGATCAGGTTTGTTTCAAATCGAAGAAAAATGTTGGTTCTATTTATGTAAACAATTTGAGTTCTTTATCTTGTATGATTGCCGAGATATGAGCAATACAAAGTTGTCAATATGAGAGATGTCGTATTTTTCAAAAGTGGATTTTAAGATGCTCGTTTCTCAGCAACCAAGCAATATTTTTTCAAACGGAAAACGCCATTTTACTCAGATGTAAAAATAATGTCTATATTGTTTTTATGACTCGTTCGAACGAGTTCTTTGATATACGTTTGTGCAGTGTCTGTCGTCGTTTATACGAGATGGCTCATAAATACACTATGTGATAAAGCATAGTTCGAGTTGCATCGTTCAGTTACAATTATTGTTGCTTTACACAAATGTCACGTTATCATCTTTTTTGTATTTTGTCTCATCCTCTACTATGATTGAATTTCACTGTAAAACTTCGATTATAATCGTTTTTCGACTTTCTCCTACGTGATTGACGTTACTCTTCTCGCGATGATAAGTTCAATCGTATTTGGTGAGTTTTTTAGTTTCCATAATGATATCCGAAAAACTGAGTTTTTGCTAGGTTTTGGCTAGTAAATTGTGTATAGTTTCGAAAGAAGTTCATTTTAGACATCAGACTCATTTTACAAAATATTTTTCGTCAAAACAGTGCACTATAGATGCAAACGTCCCATATTCGCCGTATACACAACGGGGCCGTTTGTGAAGTGTACTGCGTAACCCAGTCGCCGCTTATGTGAAATGGTTCTTATGGATCTTGTTGTAGGATAAAAATATTGATGAGTTTCAACAACTCTGGGTCGAGTTACAAACAACAGTTTTTTGGAAAAAAAGTTGATTTTCTCGACAGAGACAGTTTTCTAGATACTTTTGGTTATACGCGAGTTACTTTAACTGAGTCGAAGATTTTCCACTAAAGAATGTAGTCCTGATTCTCTTCGAATTTGTAGATATGACGTTAAAGTGATGGTGGGACATCTTTTTCACTTGTGCGTTCCACGCTTCTTGTTTTCAATTTCTTACAAACGATTTAGCTTATCTACAATTTTAATGGCATATTCAGATAGTGTGCACTTCGGGCCATCTTTTCGAAAGATGTTCACTTTTTGAAAATCAAATCTTGATGGAAAAAATTGGAAAATATTACACTTGAATCGAGATGAATACGATAAAAATGATGATTTTTGTATGTATTTTTTTTACGATTCCATAAGAAAGTGAGATGTGGTTTAAAGATTGAGTAACTAACCATCTAGCATTGTTGCTTCTTTGGAAAAAAATATTTCGGCATTACCTATCGCTTGGTGACTGAGACATGTAAAGGATCGTAAAATGAGTATGAACGGTATACTATCGCATTACAAACTCTTTAGACCGACAATTGATTGATTAATTTGATATTCTATTAGGTACATATCATGCTCGAATATTTTTCTGTTAATATTCGATAAATAATGTAGAATATAGATTAAAACTGATGTTTTCTTTTATTATTAGTTATTTGTTGAAGTGAATAATTTTTTCGGTAAGGTAGAAGAAAAAATTTCGCCGTTACAAAACAAAGATATTTAAGAATAATAATCACGAAAAATAATAATAAAATATCGAGTTGTTATGCTTAGAAAAAAAGTTCAAAAACGTGTTTTTATACAAACAACTAGGAGTAGATGCAGAAAAAGCATCCGTTATAGGTGATATTGATTACTGAACAAACATAAATTCATCCAAGCATAACAAACGAACAAAAATAAGTATAAATTCAACAAATTTCTTTCTTT